AAAAAAGTAAGACCTTTTGCTGCCCAAATTCTCATGAGTCTGTTCCTCTCACATTCTCGCCTGGGCATTTTCCACCTGTACCTCATGAAAGCTGGGTCTGCAGGCTGTCTCCTAGAAACCCCTGTGAGACCTTTTCGGCAGGTTGGAAGGCCCTGGGTGGCCCTTCCTGGGGAGTCGAATCCACTCAGACAATGAGGCTGTCAGAGAGTGGGTTGAGCCTTGCCTGCTCTCAAAGGAGTCCGTAACATTTCTTGGACTTTATACAGGGCTCAGTGAAATCTTACATATTTTTTTTTCCTTTTGAGATCATTCATCTCCTAATATAATAAATTCAAAGGAAATATACTCTGATCATTCAGGTACCTCTTCTTGACACAAAATAGCAAGGAACGAATAATCAGGTTTGTGGCGGGAGTGAGTACATGGTCAAGAAAAGCCTCATGGCTGCGAATGTGGGGCCAAGCTGACTAGAGTGGGTCCATGTTTTAGCATGGGTAAACTGGTGCCTGCTACATCATAACATCTACTTAGGCAAGTGGCTCTGTGAGGATTTAGTCCCTGGTGTATCTGAAAGTACGCTGCCGCCATCCTCACTTTCAGCTGACTAACAAGAATCCTAGGACAGAAGCAGAATGGAAGCTGGACTGCATTCAGATGGGGGTGCAAACCTGTCATATAGCACTTAGAAGGCTAAGCCAGAAGGACTCTGGGATAAATCATGAGTTCTAGGCCAAACTCAGTGACTTACTGAGCAGCCCCAAACAGAAACAGAAGCAGCAGCAGAATGGGAATAACAGCTGAGAAGGGGGGACACAGGTGCAATCCACAGGGAGTGCTCATTATATGACCTTGAGCAGGGCTCCTCCCCTTTCATGCTTACATCTGTGAAAAGTCGGGGATGGGCAAGATGGTTATGAGCCTGTGTAAAGATCTCATACTCCGGGAATCAGCTTTGTTAGGAAGTGGAACTGTCAACCATACAGTCAGCTAAATAACTGTCATGGCTTGAACCTGAAATGTCCCCCAGTGGGTCATATTCTGGGAATTTTTGTGGGTCTGTGTAACCTCTTAGGAGGTGGGGCATTGCTGGCAGAAAGTCACTAGTTGTGACAGTTCTAATTGTCATTTTGACCCAACGTAGAATCACCTGAGAAGATAATTCTTAATGAAGGACTGTCTGCATTGGGTTGACCTGTGGGGTTGTCTTGAGTTACCTGATGTGGGAAGACCCAGTCCACTGTGGGTAGAAGGTTCCCTGGGCAGCAGGGTCTAAACTTGGTGAGCTGAGAAGCTAAGCTGAGCACAAACAAGCAGTGGAGCCTGTATGCACTCATTCCCTCTCTGCTCTTGACTTACTGCAACCTTGACCTCCCTGCTATCTGGACAGTAACCTGGAGTTGTGAACTAAGGCAAGCCCTTCCCTGCTAAGCTGCTTTTTGCTGAGGTATTCTATCATGGCAAGAGAAACCAAACTAGAACACTATGGGTGGGTGTTTGAAGGTTTTACCACCTTCAAACTGAGGTAGATGAAGGACGCAGGAGTGAAGAAGAGACATCAGCTACCCTTGAGAAAGATGGAAGTGAGGACCAGACTGCTACACATTGTTAGGTGTGTCATGCACAGCCAAGAGCTCAGTTTTAACCAAGTCCTCAGCTGGGCCATTCTGGCCCTGTACTAGATCTGTGTGTGGAAAAGGGAATATTTTCCTCAAGTCCAGGGAAGTAATGGTCCTCTTCAAGAGAGATTAAGTGTCCACAGAGAACATGGCTTGTAAAAAGCATCCTCCAAGAATCCTGGCAAGTGCAGATACACACAGTAGGTGTACACGTCTGATCCCAGCTATTGTCTGAAGAGTATAGAGTTCTTTTTCTGAATTAGACTTTCCATCTATGAAATCTATGAACATTAGCTTCCTATATGTAAGGTTCTGGTAGATCACTGTGCTTCCATCTGTCAAGCACAATCAGCAAAATCAAGGCCCAGATCTCAGGGACAATGATAAGACTCCACAGAGGAGACTATTATAAATAAGAAACAGCCCCCCCCCCCAGCACGGTATTCTGTGGCCAGACACAAACACCCAGAAGGCAGAGTGAGAGCGCTCAGAGTTAGAAGACATGGAAGGATCAGAAAGCTCAGAGGCAGTTCCCACGCACAATCCAGGGCGCTTCGGAAAGGAGAGTCCTCACCCAGACTGCTGAGGAACTGGGGCTCCCAGTTCCTCTGGATCCTTCTGCCAGTCAACCCTGGAAGCCGCATGCTTTCTCATAAAGCCACTTCTCTGGGTTGTCAAGCTGCCCATTTGCCCTAAGTGCCTCGAGGCATTATGAGGATTAAGTGAGAACTGATTCAAATGCACATTGGATAAATAAAAGCAATGAGTATGAAGCCTTTCATCATCTCTGGAGGGAGAGGAGGACCGTAAGCTAAGAATGGAAAGTGAACAGGGACAAAGGTCACAGTGGATAGTGCCTGACAACCCCCAGTGGGGGGTACCAGGTTGATGTGAACACACACCAGGGTAGTAATTCACTCCAATTACTGTTTTTAGCACACACACCACACACACACACACACACCCGCCGTCACTCTTTTTCCCCTTACTCCCCCGCCTCTCTTAACTTATAGAGAACCCAAAGAGGTGAAGTGAGAACAATGCCGTTGCATGGGGCTAAGGAAAGTCCCCACGAGGAGAAGTGGCAGGGACAGGGTGTAGATACTGAATGGAGTCATGTGAGCCGTGGCCTTCTCCAGCCCCTGCACTGGGCTTGGGCCAGTGTTAACGCTTTTCAAGAAATTCTAGACTCATGTTTAATTTTGATTCTTATCCACAAGCTGGAGAGGCAGGCAGGGCACAGCTCTGCCAACTGAGGGGAAACCGAGGCATCAAGAGGAAGGGAGCCCCATCTTCTCAGCTCCTACACTTCCGGGTCATTCATATCACCGCACGTTGCACGACCTGTTTCAACAACTGATGGCACATGCCTGTAATCCCAACACATGAGGAGTGCCGTAAGCTTCAGGCCATCCTGGGCTACAGAATTGGACTCTGTTTCAAACAAAACAAAACTGCTGGAACAGCCGATCTTCACGTCAAGGAGCCATCCTCCCGACTGTACTGCAAACCACATATGCGTCTCTAAGCTTTCCCCACGACACTTTGCTAGACTACCTCATCAGACGGTGGCTCCCGAGAGTGCTGGTTTACTGCAATTAAGAGGTTGTGGAGCTGGAGAAACAGCTCATTGGTTAAGAGCACCTGCTGTTCTTTAAGAGGACTTGGGTTAGACTCCCAGGACCCAAGTGGTGGCTCACAGCCACCTATTAACTCCAGTTCCAGGGGATCCAATGGCCTCTTCTGGCCTCCTCAGACACCAGACACACACACACACACACACACACACACACACACACACACACACACA